CACACACACACGCACGCACAGAGGGTAAATGGTCTGTATTTGTATAGCGCTTGTCCCTATGGACCCTAAAGTGCTTTACACTACATCCAGCCATTCACACACTGCTGATGGCAGCTACATTGTAGCCACAGCTGCCCTGGTTGCCGGACACTGGCGACACCGGGTCCTCTGACCACCACCAGTCAACGGGTGAAGCTTTTTGCTCAAGGACACAACGACCGAGGCTGAAAATAATTAAGACCACCTGATGTATTTTAAATAGTTTGGTATTTCTTTTGTATATTCTATTTACTTTACTGGATTATTGGTAAGACGATATTTTCATGTAATTGATGACGTATAGGTACCAACGTAATAAGGACACATAGAAAAAATTAAAAAGTAAAGAAGAGACAATCGTGGTATGGATGTTGACAATGCACACTTCTTTCCACTGGAGGGCGCTCTGCAACTTTGCTGATGGCAACTAAAATACAACAACCAGCAGATCAGAGCAGAGTGGGCTAGAGCAAAAAGTAAATCAGTAACTCCACATAACAAATGTTAGGGAATTATGCTTATCTTTCATCAGTCCAAAAGTTTAACAATTTTTTTTAGTTTACTGTGGACTTCTGTACAATCAGGAGAGGCGCCATCTGGTGGATATTAGATGGACTGCAGGTTTAAAGCATTTCTCACTGGCTTCTCTTTTCAGATAACGATGTATTTAGTGTTGTGCACTCATCCTTTCATGTTCACAGATATCTTTATGGAATCCCGGAATTCAGTTTGATAATATTTTTAATGTCTCTTTAATTTTTGCACCCTCTGGAGTGCTCAAATAAAAGTCCTGCAGCTTGTTTAAGTTAGGAAGCTGTTGCCCCAAGGTTACCACAGTATGATGTCCTTGAAATATAGAGGTTATCTTAGAAACAATAATAATCCTTAGCACAACACTATATCAAACTGCAAATAAAGCTGTGGAGTGCGTCTCCTGTTTGTTCGTTAAAACCTGACCAGAAACTGATGAGATGCAAAGAAGGAAGCACCTCAGTGTTTCAGCGCTGTGCTTCTGCGGCGCTGGGCACGTGTGAAAGAGTGGTTTGATTCGCGCAGAATCAAAGTCTCCACATGTCACGCTAATGTACATTTATGTATTTAGGTTATTTCTGTATTTAGGCTGCTGACAGAACTTCGGTGACTGAGAGGATGGTGGTCCAATAGGAGTGCGACTCGGCTCCCCCGCGGGGCTGTGATTGGTCTGCGGGGTGGCGGTGGGGCGGGGCTGTGAGATTACAGCAGCATCTCTCTCACTCCGCAGATCCATCAGACATCTGGAGCAGCCCTACCCGGGAATCAGACCCCTGAGCATCGAACGCTGACACCCTCCACCGACTCACGCCGGTGTTCGCAGTCTGTTTCCCGACACGTATCCACTCTTCGGTGTTGCTGTGGTGGCTCTGTGGGCTGCATCTCCGGAGGGAGGCTGCTGCGCTCCGGAGAGACGGACGGTCCGTTTCTGCCAGTGAAAACACGGAGGTACTAAGCCTAAACCCGGGAGGATGGTGATGGACTGAGCTGATCCGACGTCTGAGAGGTTTTTAGGGCCCGATGGAAGCTGCGACACATCTGGACCTGGAGCGTCTGGATCCCGGCTCCAGCTTCAGTCTGGATTAAAGAGCCGTGCTCATCACCGGGGGTTCGGTGTATTTGTTTTCTTCTTTTAGTTTTTGCCCTTTCCTCACAGATAAACGGTCCTGATTGAGAGTTTGAAGGAGCAGGCGGATCCCCCTCCTCCTCCCCCCCCCTGCTGGTCTGGATTAAAGCCCATCAGGATCATGAATCATCCCCCCTCCGTGACTCTAATCTGGGTTTTACCGAGCTGGATTTAAATCTGAGATCTGATCAGGATTACTCTGTTCCTGGTTCTGATCGGGTCACATCTGGCCCGGTCTGAACCGGTCCCGGAACTGGTGTGATCTTTGACTCGGTCCCGGTCTTCTTGGTGCTGGTTTGGGGGAGGTCTGCTATCATCATGCCGACGTCCCGGCCTGGTTCGGAGCCGGTGGAGTTCTGGGTGGACGGATCAAGGCGGGACGGGACTGTGGAGGAATTCTACACCCTGAGCTCGGAGCTGGGCAGGTCTGGACCACATTATGGGGGGGACAGGGGAAAACCGATGAGTTCATATGGACACTTCATTGGGCCAAAGTTGCCTGCATGAGGGGTCCATGTGATCCTTCAGGATTAACTTTGGCCACACTTTATAATCCATCCCGTGGATTACAGGGTTACTCATTTGAATGAGGTACCGGTTAAATACTGGTTCCTGTTGGAATTTAACGGGAAACACCGAAGCAAGAAAACGAAGCTTGAGCTTTGGTGTCAAAATGTTGTCAGCAATCTTTGTCTTCTTGTGTAATCACAGAGTGAAAATGTGTTTCATGCGCAGCATCTTGCTGTCTGCACATTCACGTTGTGTAATCAATATAAGATTTCAGACTGCGCCACTTTAAGCAGATTTAAGTGAAGGCTGTTAAAAATATTGATAACAGTAAAACACAGCTGCATCACGTGCTTGGTGCATGCGTATAATCTATCTATACATATTTGTAATGATTTTTAAAATGAGGTATATTTTTTATCAAAGAGGTTTTGCATTTTTAAGACTGGTATTTGATTTGGTTATTTAGCTTTTAGCTCTATCTAGGTGGTAAATTGGAATATTGTACTGGCATCTATCCAATTTCATACTTACTTTTTAATGATAGGGGAATTATTCCCATTTGCCGATACAAGTTTTTTTGAACAATTTACAATACAGTTTGTCAAACATTTTATTAATATATTTGAACACTTTACAGATTTTTATTAATAAATCATATTAATATCTTCCAGGTTTTCAAGTCAGTATTGATGTGGATATTTTGAAACATAAAAAATGACAACATAGAAATAAATACATTCAAATGTCTTGCATTGATCAATAAGTACTTCTGTTGCTTAAAGTACATTTAGCTTACACGTCTCTACTTTGACTGCAGCAGTTTTAATCCTGTACATTTATACTGCTGTGCTTTTGCTCCAGATGCTCTGACGCTTCAGTGTCTGCCAGTCTGTGTGGCTCATGTTTAAAAACCATAAAAAGTCAGAGCAAACATGGAATTTGAGCTAAAAGACAACAAAGATGAGTCGTGAAAGAGACCTGCAGACTGTTTGGAGCTCGGGCAGTTTGTTCGTTGTTTGAATGTTTATAGCGTGCGGTGGACTGTGTGTATTTACACACTGTGTTTGTTGTTATCTCAGCAAACACCAACACCCACAACACTGACAGCAGATCTGCAGAAAATGATGAAAATGATGTCAGCAGTGAAATCAAACGTGTGAGCATGCCGCCACCAGTTCTATTACCAGGTGTCCTGTTGCCATGGAGACCAGCCAGGACTGTGTGTGTG